CACCCTCACTGATCGCACATTTCCTTTGCAAGCACTTCTTTTTCACCAAATCTGTAAATGCTTGGGGCTTCCCAGGCTTGCTTGTCCTCAGCAGTCATCTCCCGTCTACCTATACTCTCTCCCTAGTCAGGGGTGTCTAACTTTTTTTTCTCTGCTGCACACTGAAAGAATGAGTTGTCTTCGGCCACACAGTGAATACACACAGCCATTAAGAAAGCTAATTAGTAAAACAAACAAACAAAAAAATCTGTGCATACTTTTCACGATATCTGACACCACAGGTAAGCAAAAAAAAAAAAAAGTCCTCACAAAATCACCACATGGCCCACAGGCCAGAGGTTGGAAACACCTTAGGCCTAGATGATCTCATTCATTCCCATGACTTTATATACTGTTTATATGCTGACAGCTTCCAAATTTGTTATCTTTATCAATTGCCTACTGGACATCTATACTCAGATTGCAAACTTAGCAAGGCCCAAACCAAACTACTGATTCCCTCCTTAAGTCCCTCCTCAACTCTCCCCACCCCAGCAATGGTGTTACCATTTATCTAGTTACTTGGCCCCAAACTAGGAATCCTTTAATCCTCCTCCAGTCCTATCTCCAAACAGTATTCTGAATCTAACCTCTTCTTCCCATTCCTGCAACTCTTGTCGAGGCTGGCATCAGCTCACCTGGTCTGCTGCAGCAGATCCCTAACTGGTGTCCCTGCTCCCACTCTTATTTTTTTTCCTTTCTTTTTTTGAGACAAGCTCTATGTTGTCCAGGCTGGTCTCAAGCTCCTAGGCTCAAGTGAGGTCCCACATGGACCCTGCCCCTTCTTGAAAGCCAGAGTAGCGTGTTCTAGCAAAAATCAGATGCTGTACTCTCCTGCTCAAAACTCTCCCATACACAGAGAATCTGTGCTTTTTACACAGGTTAGCTCCAGCCTATTTCTGTCTTTGTGTCCCTCTATTTTCCTCTGCAAACAGGAGTCTTTGCATCTACTGCTCTACCTCAGGATGTTGAGACGGCTGCCTTCTGCTCAATGTTCTCCCCACCTACCCCTCGGGTAGCCAGTCAAGCCATTCTGACACTGTGCTATTTTCTTCACAGTGTCTAACTGCATCTAAAACTATCTCAATTTTCCTTCTCTGTTTATTATCTATCTTTTCCCCAAGAGTCTATGATCATTGAGGAGAGAGACTTTACCATATACTGTACTGACTCCCCAGTGCTTAGCACACAAGAAACTGAGCAAGGTGCTTAGTGTACAGTCAATACTGAATTTAAGTGAGATATTATTTCATTTTACAAGACAACTCCTCTTTGACTCTGTTGAGAGTGCCCAGATTTAGCAGATAATTAGTTGAAGTAAAAAAAGAATGGGTTTAGAACTGGAAGAGGCCTTGGAGATCATCTAGTCTATTGATTTCAACCTCGTCCCCACCTCAACACATGTGAAGATAACACATGCCTATCAGCGGGTGAGGCTCTCTACGGCGGCACCTGTCCTGGCTCTATGTGCAGTTGGTGTCATTCCTGTCCATCTCTCAACACTGGATAGCTAAGCAACCCTGAGCAGTGATTGAGGTACAGTACCTGAGCTCAAGTTAAGAAACTGTATGAATGAAATATACCTTGATTTAGTTTCTAGCTGATGAATCTAAAATTCAATTGGCCTTTCATGTGGGTCAGTTGCCCATGACCTGCCCTGTAAATACTGCTGAGCTATTAAGGTATAAATATATCATTTTAAAGAGGATTAACAATCCACGAAGAGAACTGATAGCTTGGAGTGAGTAACAACAGTAAGGATTTGAGGGCAGTTAGGAACTGAGCTGGGGATTTGGAAAGAGAACCCTGGGGGTTGCAGGCAGTCAGCCATAAGCCTGGCTCCAGGAGAAAATAAATGCTTAGAAACAACAAACCAATGTCTACTGGGCACGAGACAGGCCTGGCCTGAAGCCCCACTATCATGTCCATGCTGGTGTTCTTGTAACTCAGAAGGACCCACTCTGCAGAAGCCTAAACTCTTGGGTTGCCTCCTTAGGACCAGTGTCAGTGGTGAGACCATCAGACCTGCACAGTGTATTCTATTTCTTGCCCTTATTTCCATCTTTTATTCTTTACAGCCTTACCCCACCCCCATCAATTTCTTTACTTACAAGTTTAGAGGAAATTTGTACATTATGGCAATGTGAAAGTGGAAACAAACCTGGAACTGAGGTTTGAATGTTCTGTATTTAATATGTGGACATTTTCATCCTCTAAAAGGGCTGTAGTAAACAAAAAAATATGTGGACATTTGAGTACCTCATAGCCTCTTTAAAAATTAGGTTCTAGGGCTATTCTTGACACGAACTAGAACTCAGACAAACCAATTTGGTCTCAGCTTTATCTGTTAACTGAAAGGGCGACTGAATGGGCAAATAACTCCTAAGCTTTGGTTTTCTTTCCTGTAAAGTGGGGATAATAGTAACTATTTTAATGGACTGTTAATGAGGATTAAATAAAGGCTTAGTATCCCTTGGTATGATGTATGGTAGCTATTATAAGCATACTCCAATGGAAGTATTATCTCACCTTGGAGATAATTTGAGGTCCTTTCCAGCTAGTTTTAAAAAAGTACAGCACACAAGCATCTAAGTATCAAATTAGTACTGCCATTTACTGAATATCTATTATCTGCCCAATACTATGTGAGCTGCTATTAATCTAATAAAATAGCCCAATCTTGATCAGCTGGAGTATTAAATATTATGTAAGTATGCACATATTATTTCCTACATTTTACTAGTAAACTGAGCCTCACACAGGGTTAACTGCCCAAGTTCACTCCAAAATCCACATTTTCTCTATTGGTACTCATTAATGTTTTAGTGATATAATGTAGAAAAGAAATGGTTGCAGATGAGCAGAAACGTTAACAAAGTAGACTAGTGGCTTAAAATAATTGCTTTATATATTCACTGTGGCACATTTAAATGGTCACAGGAATAGATAAGTCATCCTCTTCAAAAGCACTGAAACTTGACACTGATCTAGTTTAATCCATCTTACCAGAGATATGTAGAATTATACAAATAATTTTAAAAAGACAAGAACATGATTTTATTGAATGTGAAAAAATACGCTTCAGATCAGAGAAAGCAGCATGAACCCAGGGCTACACCTCATACAAATTCATCTCTCTTCCTGCCTTCTGACTCATTCTACTGTAAGATCTGCTTTTCTCTCACCATTTCCCGTCCCTACCATGGACAGAAAGTGACACTAAATTTGAAGATACACGTTTTACTCAGAGACCTAATGTAAAACAAACAAAACTTAAAATATTCTCAGCCAATCAGGATAAGAAACTAACTTGTTTCTATCAAGAAGTAGGCTTCAAATATGCCAAATACTTTTGTTAAAGAAATACTGTTAGCTTTGTGTATGTCTGTGCACAGGCACATTTTGTTTTCACATTTATCTTAAAACAGGATTTTAATATATAATTTGAAATGACAAACTAAGTAATCTAATCTTCTTTACAGGTTAATTTAATCTGAAAATAGCTGGAAGTGACTGCACATAACTTTGAAGGAGCTCATATGGAAGGAGAGCACACATGTGTCATCCTATTATAATACAGTGATTTATACTGTCTGTAAAATAGGTCAGAAAAGCTTAGGTGGGGCGGTGCCTGTGGCTCAAAGGGGTAGGGCGCCAGCCCCATATGCTGGAGGTGGTGGGTTCAAACCCAGCCCTGGCCAAAAGCTGCAAAAAAAGAAAAGAAAAGAAAAGAAAAGCTTAGGTGTGGGGGTATATTTAAAAGATAATAATTTCCTCAAAGATAAAAACACGTCACAAATTACTGCTTTGTTAAACACATTATATCGTTCTTATTTTATTGACTAGTTCTTAATCCTGAGGCTTATACCCAGGGTAAGTGTGCATTAGGCATTTGTGAATGACACAGTCAACAACAGAGTGGAAGGAGGTCACAGGGCACAGGCTGTAATCTTTTCATGTTAATGACAGTAATGTAAGTCTGATACATAAGCAGTATGCATTCAACACACTGAATACCTGAGACCAGGCCAGGAAAAGATAATAGGCAATTCAGCTGAAGCGGGGCAAGTACTGAGAAGTCATAACTACTCTAAAGATGTAAAGGGATCCACAAAAGACACGAACCTGAGTCTGCCATAAAAAGGAAATGAAGCACTCCCCTGGGTTTGCCATACTACCTGTTTGGGCCCACTGTGGGCTTGCTTCTTTCAGGGCTTTAGCTGCTATTTCATTTCATGGAAAAGTAGACATCTCTAAACAAAAAGTGTGACATTTACCAAAACAAAGCGGCTTTCTCACCAGAGGAGTTTAATAAAAATATTTTTCTGTGCCTCACACAGTTTTCAAAAACCATTATTTCTGTTTAATTGTTGGTATTTGCTACAGTGCTAGGTGCAAAGTTTATGAAATAAAAGCTACTGAATGAATGAATCACAGGATAATACAAGTAATTAAGTTCTTGAGAGCATCAATTCCATCACAGTGACCCTTGCAGGCTGCTCCGTAAGGGACTGGGCTATGAGAGGTCAGTGCACGTCACACATGTGCTCGTCTACTGCAAAGTATACTCACTGTCCAGAATGGGATGCTTAAGTGAAGTAAAATCTGTGCTCACCACTCCCAAATGAGCACATGCCAGGCTGTACTCAAGTATATATCGAAAACTTTTTAACTGGTCAGTGTTAAATCAACCACCAGTTCCTTCTAGGCACTTTGAAAGAAAAAAATGTGTGTGAAGAATACTCTGAACAGGACGGTCCCTGTGGCTCAGCGAGTAGGGCGCTGGCCCCATATACCGAGGGTGGCAGGTTCAAACCTGGCCCCGGCCAAACTGCAACAACAACAAAAATAGCCAGGCGTTGTGGTGGGCGCCTGTAGTCCCAGCTACTCAGGAGGCTGAGGCAAGAGAACTGCCTAAGCACAAGAGCTGGAGGTTGGGGTGAGCTATGATGCCACAGCACTCTACCAAGGGCAACAAAGTGAGATTGTGTCTCTAAAAAAAAAAAAAAAAAAAAGAAAACTTTGAACACTTACATTCGGATGAAACTGATGTAAATTAAAACTGGCAAAACTAATAACTGAGCAGCAGTAGCACAACAAAATATGAATTTGACTCTTTTGCTGATGGTAGTCAAAACGGTTTGTTCATGTTTGCTAAAATCAGAACTAAAACAATGGCATGTATAAAGGAACAGAGTGGGTCTTTCACTATAGTCCAGTCTGTCATTAACGTCCTGTTCCCTGCTCACAGCTCACCAGGACTCGAGGACTCAATAGAACAGTTAGGTGGACTTAAAATCACCTCAGTTGGAATCGCTCTCCATTTAAACAAACACATCTGGCCCACGCTCATTTCCAGTTGAAGCGTGAGAAGCCTCCCTGAAGCCTTATGACTTGGTTTCTTTTTTCTCCTCAGGTACTGTTTCCCAGATTGGCTCCTTGATGTGTTCTGGTAACTGCTCTAATTTTGTCTAAAAAAAGAGAAACAAAACAAAACAAAACTATAATACAGACTTAAAAGAACTCTTTGGCAACAAATCGGATTTTTTTTTTTTTTTGAGACAGAGTCTTATTATGTCACTCTCAGTAGAGTGCCTTGGCATCATAGCTCACAGCAAACTCCAACTCTTGGGCTTAGGTGATTCTCTTGCCTCAGCCTCCCAAGCAGCTGGGACCACAGGTGCCTGCCACAATGCCTGGCTATTTTTTTGTTGCTATTGTTATTGTTGTTTAGCTGGCCGGGGCCAGGTTCGAACCTGCCAGCCTTAGTGTATGTGGCTGGCATGGTAACCACTTAGCCCAAATTGGATTTATTAATCTGTGAAATCTTTGACTTCTTCCCCTCTCCTCTTTGCCTTTTTATAGGGTTTTGAAATGGAGAGAAGGAAACTTAATAGTATATAAAATACTCTTATATATACAATCTATTTGATCCTTAATGCTCTCCAGGGATTGCCACTTAATGGGGTCTCAAAGTCCAGAAAAGTACTAGTAGGGAAGGAGCTTCAGAGGTGGCTCAGGAAGCACCCAGGCTGCAACGGCAGGACTGCATGAGGGGAAGCCCCCAACCCTATGGCAACTCCATCTCCCAATCTGCCACAAGTCCTCCCTCTACTCAGTGGGCCAGGACCAGGCTGCAATGAGTCAAAACAACAATACAGATATCTTCCCCCCCAAAAGAGATAAAAATTCAAGCCATACCTTAGTTACTTCCATGGCAACCCCTTCAGGTAAGTTTCGCTGAATATATTCCAAGTAGACATCTGCTGTACTTCCAGTTAGGTGTTGTAACTAAAATGTCAAACATGAAAACGGTTTGTGCTATGCTGGAGAAGCTGGATTTGTTTGTTT